CTGAAGTGTAAAAAGTTTGAGCGTGAGCTGGAGAAGAAAGACGAGACCACAAGAGCAACGAGCGAGCGTTGTACACAGGTCAGATGCAATGACTGTTCTTCCATGACATGCACAGTACTTCACTGCATGCCTTATAACCTGACTTCAGGGGGCTCTGACAGGTCATAACTTTCCAAGCTCCCAGATAGCAGCACAAGTGATGTCCTCCAGTCCTCAAGTAGCAGCTCAAATGGTTGGTAATGGGTGATACTCTTTCCATATAGCAGCACAGCATTTCACCTAAAGCAGTGGAGAGAAAGGTGAAGAACAAGACCTAGATATGACTTCTGAGGTATGATTTTGGGAATCAACTTTGTATCCTAAAGTGGATCTAAAGGCAGCAATAAAACCAAAGTCCAGGCGGTACCTCTACTAGTGCCTGTTCACTCTCATGTTAAATTATGTAAAATCAACATTTTATTTACCTTTTATTCACCTGTTGTATGCAGTCACTTGACCGCTACCCCTTCCTGCTGGTGAGTGGTAGGTAGAGATTTGTGGGGTGAAAGCAGAAGAGGAAGTGACCTTGCCATCTCAGGCTCCTTTTATAGGGAAGGGAGGAAGAGAGGAGTTGTATGTTCCTGTGCCTGAGTGCCGTCAGAGATGTGAGCAAGCGCAGTGAGAGGATAACCAGACACTGTATAATATTGAGGTAGTTCTGCTTCTGGGTGCCAACACAGGAAATAAGGTCATATTCAGGGTGATGACAGGATCACTATGATGGCAGGGATAGACAACCTTTGATAGATGGAGATCTACCTGAACAACTTGAAGGAGATCAAAGATCACTGGGGTTTGATGCCTTTTTTTTTTTTTTTTTCTTTCTTTCTTTTTTTAAAGAAATTATCTAGCAAGGCCTAATGAAATAGTAAGGAAAACTTAGAAAATATATGAAAAATTTCACTGTAAAAATATAAACGTAGCCTACCTTAAAAGTGAACAGTGTCAGTCAGTAGAGCAGTGGACAGTAGGGCACAGGAATGCTTGCGGATGGTGTCAGTAGGGCAGTGGACGATGTGAGTAGTTCTTTACTTTTATTTTTACTTTTTTTTCTATAATTTTTAGTTTGTAATTTTCGCAGCCCTGTTGGGGGACTTTGGTGAAATATCAGGGGCCTAAACAGATCCCTGGTGTCTCACTTTTGAGAAAGAGAAAGGGGACACGTTTCTCTATCTCTACAGCCTCATTTGCACAGAATGAATGATCAAGAATAGTTCTCTACAGAGCTTCCTGTTCATTTATAAACTGAAGCAAAGTAAAGAAAGTTTACTATTCTTCAGTTATGAATGAACACAGTGAATGATCGGCACCACTCACTTACTGTGTTCATTCAGAAAAAGAAGGGCTGGTAAATTACATATTTACCAGCCCTTTCCCCCTCTCTCCATCCTGAAATGATCCCCCGCAGCAACCAGCGGGTGAGGAAGGATACCAGCAGCACTGGGGACCAAGCTGCAGAAGGGACGGTGAGGGTAGCTTTTACTGGAACCAATCCTTTTTTTTTTTTTCCTGCAGCAGCTGAAAGACGGCAGGGGGAGAGGTGGCTTTCAGCAGCTGCAGCAGGAAAAGGAGATCAGTTCCAGTAAACGACACCACTGCTCCTGTCCAGGTTCGGGGGGTTGGCAAGGAAGGGACATGATCTCCCCACGCCTGCCCACAATGAAGGATTGATGACCCCCTGATCTAAGGCAATATAAAAGAAGCCTAATTTCAATGTTCATATGTTATGGGACCATGCAAAGGTCATTTTGTGCCTGGAGAGACACTTTAACTTTACAGTGTACCAATGCTAATCATACAGAACAATGCTGCTTTCTCTGCTTGTCTGGGGGGCTGGTCTTGTATTTGCCCCCTCCTGTAGTTTTCTGCAGGCAGCTTGTAGTGGCTGGACATCTCTCATAGCTCTACTCTTTGCACAAGCTATTTGGGGTACAGTTATAATGCCACTGCTACGTTTATAAGTTAATAACCGGATTTGCAGAGGCGTTTGGTGCACACAAAATGGATTTATGTTCCTTGTGGATATAGAAGAATATAAATGGATACATTTTTGTGCCTGGAGTTCAGCTTTACCTAAACGTTAACCTCAAATATGTACACGTTACAATTACTGCATATGTCTGTGTGGTAACTATGAAACCTTCCTATTGTTACAACCCATGTCCTGACCTTCTAGGAGGCAAAGGAGAAGGACGACCTGAAGTGCCATCTACAGTCCACCATACAGCAAGCAGAAAGTCTCCGTAAGGAGCTGGCAGAAGTGCTGGCCAGACGGGCGCAACAGGAGGAGGAATTACATCTGAAGCAACTACGGCTTACAGAGGCCCAGGATCAGCAAATGGAACTGGAGAGGGAACTGCGGGAATCCCAGGAGCTGGCAGGAAGGCTTCAAGGTAATACCTTTTTGTGGTGTACAAGCATCATACCATTTAGGGCTCATTTACACTCACTTCGACTTTAACGCACATTAAAACAAAGATGCTTCTGTGATGCTTTAGTGATGTTTTTTTGAAGTTTTAATGAAGCTTGGTAAGTGCCCTGTTTTTGTTTTGATTTTCTGTTTGTTTTAAAGGGGCTCAGTAGAACCTCAGCTCAGCAGTAATCCCCACTCAGCAGATCCCCAGCTTATTAGTACCCTCATTCTGCAGATCCTCTGCTCAGTAGTAACCCCAGCTTTGCTGATCCCCCGCTCAGTAGTAACTGCCAGCTCTGCTGATCCCTCTGTCAGTAGTAACCCCTAGCTCTGCTAATCCCCCGCTTAGTAGTAACTGCCAGCTCTGCTGATCCCCCGCTTAGTAGTAACCCCCAGCTCTGCTGATCCCCCGCTTAGTAGTAACCCCCGGCTTTGCTGATCCCCCGCTTAGTAGTAACCCCCAGCTTTGCTGATCCCCCGCTTAGTAGTAACCCCCAGCTTTGCTGATCCCCCGCTTAGTAGTAACCCCCAGCTTTGCTGATCCCCTGCTCAGCAGTAACCCCCAGCTTTGCTGATCCCCCGCTTAGTAGTAACCCCCAGCTTTGCTGATCCCCCGCTCAGCAGTAACCCCCAGCTTTGCTGATCCCCCGCTTAGTAGTAACCCCCAGCTTTGCTGATCCCCTGCTCAGCAGTAACCCCCAGCTTTGCTGATCCCCCCCGCTCAGCAGTAACCCCCTGATTCCCCCCCCCTTCAGTAGTCACCGCCAGCTCTGCTGATCCCTCGCTTAATAAACCCAAGCTCTTCTGATCCCCCACTCGGTAATAACCCCCATGTCTGCCAATTCTCTGGTTTGGTGATCCCCCTTTCTCTCTTGTCCTGGCTCATCTCCTGCTATATTGTTCCCATGCTGGAGGAGGAGCCAAAAGTGTCGACGGGGGACCTGAGAAGAGGAGGTTAGGGGCCACTCTTTGCAATTCCATTACACAGAGCAGGTAAGTATAAAACTGTTTTATTATTTTTTAACTTTGTTTAATCACTTTAAATTGAATGAATGTAGTGTGTGTCCATCTGTCTGGTATTCTACTACTCCTACTCTGTGGAGTAAACTAAGATGTAGGGCCAGAGAGGATAATATAGAATGAAGACCCTGGAGGTGGTTTATAATGATTTGTAATTCTTTGCCCTTATTTTTCACCTTTTGAATCTTTTGGGATTTTTTCCCAGTCTATGAAGCTTATTGCAGTTCAGTCTAAGGAAAGCAGCATAATAAAAAAGATGAATTGTCCTAGTTTAGTTTGGTGTAAATTATCAGCAAAAGTTATGGTAAAAACTGACTGGAACGCTTTAGAAACTGGACAGATTTATCTAGAGAATTGATTTGTCTGATTATATTATGGAAAAGAGCCTAGGAATTACCTATAGCAGCTTTATAAAAAGGTGAAACTGGCAGATTTTGTGTTTACCATAGAAAACGATCCATTTCAGCCTTTTTATACATCTGCCCCTTCTATTCACACACCTAGGGGTTGATTTACTAGAAGAGGAGAGTGCAGAATCTGGTGCAGCTCTGCATGGAAACCAATCGGCTTCCAGGTTTTGCTGCCAAAGCTTAACTGAACAAGATTAAATTAAAAGCTGATTTGCTACTATGCACAGCCACACCAGATGTTGCACTCTCCAGTGTTGGTAAATCCACCCCTAAGCCCAATAAACTGTCAGCAGGGTGCCATTTATAATAGCACAGATTGAGACATTTTTATTAGTTCAACAAATAGGCATCATGCATTTTCCGGTGGAATGTGACGTAAGCAAGAGCCATTTGTGCGATATAGAATTGAATGTTATGCTGATATTTTGGGTCCGTAGAATAAGACCATTCATACACCAAGCATTAGGTGGTGCAGGACTCCTTTATAAACTATGGTCCCTGCAACATAATAGATAATTTGCTTCCATTTGCAAACTTTTGGAACAGTTTTGCACATACTGTAATTCTTCTTTTCGGAATTTCTCATTTTGTGCTACCTGTTGTTTATGGTGCCTATTGCTCCTTGATGAGAGAGATTATGGTATAGGAAGGGTAACACAGCAACTGGCTGTGAGAGAGAAGATGGTATCTAAGGTAGGGAGTGAACACGGCAAGTTTTGGTTATAGCCTGAATACACTTTGATCTCTTCTTTGGTTAAATTATAGGAGAGCTGCAGAGGCAGGTGGAGGACCAACAACAGCTTCAGGAGGACCGTGAGAAGCTGCAAGAAGAATTATTGTCCGCTGGTCGGGCCCAGGAGAAGAGCAGCAACAAAATATTGGAACTTCAGGAAGCTGTCCGAGATCTGAGCGGCGAAAGGGCGGAGCTGAGCAGCAGACTGGCACAGGAGGAGAAGAGCGGCAAAGAGCTCCGGCGGAACCTATGTGAGGCCCAAAAACAGGCTGAGTTTGCTCGGGAAGAACTGAATTCAGCGGGTAGACAGCTGAAGATGGAACGGGATGTACATCAGCGGGAGCTGACAGATCTGCGGTCTGCAGCCCAGACTGCTAAATGTAAACACGATCGCAATATCCAGGAAATGCTGGCACACTTCAGGCAAGAAAGAGAAGAGCTGGAGGGTCACATCCGCAGCCTCAAGGTGATGGAAGCTCACAGATAAGTGTGCAGAAATGTTGGCCATTGCTGACATTTTTAAAATGGTCTCTTTATATTTAACTGAAATAAATGTTGTGATAAACAATCTTTTAGGAATTGTAACATCACTGCACCTTTTACTTGTTGCATGCTTGCCTGGGGTGAGTGACTAACAAGGTATTAAAGATATTAAATATGTATGATAATCTTGCCCACTATCATTTTTCGACTGAGGTTCCAAAAGCAGGCCCTGAGATTGGTTTAAAAAAAAATGATCTCCGTTTTAAAAAACAAATAAAAAAAAAATAGAGTTGTTGGATGTGGTGTCATGCAAGCCACACTACCAAAAATAATGTGTTACTCTTCCTGTGTTCTGCTACATCAACCCTTCTTGTAGTCTTGTATTTTGTTTGTAAACACTTGCATGTTACCACAGTTCTCTACAGCTGCAGGTACATAATTGCAGCTTCGTGCAGTTATTTGCAGACTGGCAGCACGTGAGTGTCAGTCAATGATCACAGCTCAGGTCAGTCAGGAGTAGGCTGGCACAGATTTAATCTGTGACCCACCAGGCTGTGAAGGAAGGATCTGTGCCAGGGTCCCAAACACCACAAATACTACCTTGCACTGCTCCACACACACACACTGAACATATAGATTTGGAACTGATCCTGAAAATTAAATGAATTTATGTTGTAGGCTGAGCTCATCGACAATAAGTCTTTGATGAAAGCAGAGCGCCAGCGTGTGGAGAAGATGAAGGTGGAATGTGACAAATTTTCAGAGGAAGTGTTGCGGGGCAAAGAGGAGTACGCCACCCTGAGGTGCAAGTACCAGCTGTCTGCACAGGATGCAGAGGAGAAGGTGAGAGCAGGATGAACCAGAAAAGTGGGTTATATCTTATCTGCTAATCAATATTTAACTTTCTCTTTCTTTCATTGGGGGATACAGCACTGGAGGGAGTCTGTTAGCTGGGTTATGTTGCTGTGGTAAAGATCAGGGATAGACAACCCAAGAGTGGTGGAGATCTACTTTAGAAACCAAAGATCTCAGGGGAAGTTAAAACATGTTAAGTGGGTGTGGCCAAATTTAAAGTTTGTGTGGTCAGTAATGATCGGGCAATAAGATAATCATGCATTGTTTGTCAGTGTGCCCCCTTCCTCCCCAAGCAATGCTTTCCTTACTTTGATGGTCAGTAAGCCTACATTTTACTATTGCCAATTATAGTGTTGGTCATCATTAGTAGTAAACCCCAACCCCCCCAATTCCACCCGTTTATCTCTTTAATGCCTGTCCTCATCAGAAGTACTTTTCTTTTTCTCTCCCCTTCCCCATATGCTGAATGGTGCAGAGAAATTAAGGTGGAACATGGTCACCTGTTCTGTTGTGGTGGTTCCAGATGACTCGGCTCTTGTATCTATTCCAGGCGCTTGTACTTCATGCCATATGCAAGTGCCTGGGATGGTCTAGAGGGGAATGGTGGGCCCAGAGCAGCAGGATAACCTGACTTCCCTCGGCTCTGCACCGCCACATTGCTGGTCAGGTCTGAAAGGGTATAGGCAGGTACTCGAGCTGGCGACTTGGAGGGGGTCAGTCCCATTCTACACTTTCCATGCTTAAAATCAACCATGAACAAATTGTGAACAATGGGTAACTGATCCCTATTAGAGACTATCTACAGTACTGCCTCCCTTAAACACATCAGAGAAGAGGATTTTGCCATATGTTAATGGATATGATTACATTTCTCAACTGCTGACAGCATCTCAAATGATTTTGAAGTCCACTTTAGGGATTTACCTCTCCACAAAAGTTGAATGTGTTCAATTTTCTCAGACAGTAAAAGATGAAACCTGATTGGTTGCTATGTGTAAAGCTGGACATACCCAAAATCTTTCTATGGCCAGCAGAGGCAGACTGACCATTTGGAAACTCGGGCACTGCCCAAGGGCCTGGGGTCTGTAGGGAGCCCAATGAGATGCCCCTGGTACCTTTTTCATAGGCTTTTTTGAGTTTGTGCAAGGACAAAGGGGCCCCACGATCCCCTATTGCCCGGGGGCCCCATGAGTTGTCAGTCCACCCCTGGGCTAGCCTGACTTTTTGCAGATTTTTAGTTATATTGAGTTATACAGCAGAGGTGTACTTCTCCATTCAGTCAGCTGGGGGAGCTTCAGTCTCACTGAATAGTTGCAGTCATGGAGGTAAAAGATCATTTTCTTGTCTCAGCCCCGTCAAAGTCTGCCTTCTAGAATAGCCACATGTTCTTCCTGTCTACATGTGCTGTATCTGGATGGTGTGCAGAGTGTGATCAGACACTGAGGATGGTTGTGACAGTGGGGGAGTGTGAGCTCAGCACGTCACCCCAGGGATCCCACTGACACATCACACATATGAAACACGTGGAAGGCAGTAAATGGTTGCTTTGATGTGTGTCTGGTGTATAACTGGATCCGTGCTCCACATGACCAGTAATATCTGCTTCCATGGTCCTTCGTAGCATCTGTAAGGGAAACTCCCGCTGATAATTCTCTTCTTATGTGACAGCCAGCCTCTGAATGAGGAACTATATCAGGATGGAGGAGGAGATAGGATGGCAAGCAAAGTATCTGGTGTGCATTCATAGTTAAAGGATGGCAAGAGCAGAGTGCAGCCATATTTATAGGATGGTAGGAGCGGAGTTTCCCAGAGTGTAAACATATTCATAGGATGGTGAGAGCAGAGTACCTGGAGTGCAGCCATAGTCATAGGATGGCAAGCAAAGAGCCCAAAAAATGCAGCCAGTCATAGGATGGCAAGGGCAGAGTGGCTGGAGTACAGCCATAGTCATAGGATGGCAAGAGCAGAGTGCTCGAAGTGCAGCCATATTTACAGGATGGGAAGGGCAGAGTACGCAGAGTTCAGCCATATTCATAGGATGGTGAGTGCAGAATGCCTGGAGTGTGAGCAAACTCATAGGATGGCAAACAGAGTGCCCAGAGTGCAACCATAGTCATAGGATGCAAAGGGCAGGATGCCTGGCGTGCAGCCATAGTCATAGGATGGCAAGGGCAGAATGCCTGTAGTACAGGTCTGTAATTGTTAGTAGGTTAAGGGAGTGGGAGACAAACAAAAAGGTCATGCGCAGAGGATGATACAAAAGTGGATTCTTGAATGTTTGATCCTTGAAATATTCCTGAGATTGTGGAAGTGGGTTCTGAAGGCAGCTGATACCTGGAAGGCTAAGTTCACTTTTTAAAGCGGAGCGCCACCTAAAAGGGGAAATTACACTTTAAAGACTGGTCCCCCGCTCCCCATTAAGGATTGGCACCTTTGGAGAGAGGGTACCCTAAATTGACAGGTTCCCACTTCCGCTGCGATCACCTAGGCGATCGGAAGTGGAAGTTGTCCTCCTACTCTCCCTCCCCGTAGTCTTCTGGGACACGTGACAGATTCCGGAAGACTACGGGGGGCCATTCAGGAGGCGTAGTGCTACTTGCACATGAGCAGTGGGCACTCGGCTGTGAAGCCACAAGCTGTCACAACCGGATGCCCACGCTGAGATTCCAGCGCCTGGAACACCAGATAGCTGGTGAAACGGGCTTCGGGGAGGACACCGCGGGATCATGGGACAGGTGAGTGGCTGTTTTTTAAAAATCAGCAGCTACACTTTATCTTTTTACAGTGTGACTGGAACTCCACTTTAAATAAAAACCATATGCACATGTTCTAAAGGTAAAAAAAGTGCATTTATTTATTTATTTATTTTCTCAGGAACCTGCAGAACATTACACTTGTGATCAGTGGATCGCGGGTGCAATGTCAGGCTCCCACAGACACTCCAGCTTTCTTGCCTGTACTTCTGTTCGGGCTTCCTGTTAGAAAGCTGGAGGAAGTGTCAATGAAGTACAAGGGTGCTCATCACCACCCTCGCCATTCATTGAGAACTACAAGCCATCTGCCGTGGTGCCAGATGACACTTGATGTGGGCAGAGCCCCGCATGGCTTTGTAAACTTAAAAATATGACAGCAGCTGCAGGGGAGAGGAACCCACACCTGCTGTCACAGGAAGGTTGGGGGGGGGGGGGGTGGCAGGAGAGATGCACAGTTACGTTACACATTCATTGCTGGTGTAACATTTGCCACGTTACTTAAGGTGATCTTATCCTTTAATTGATAAGTCAGTGTCCAGGTCCACATCTAGGCTGTGCACATGGTCCGACGAGTTGTATTCCCGACATATTTGCTACCATTTTGAGGTTAGTCTCTGCCCTCCAATAACAAGTCTTGTCTGGGTTTTTGAATGAGTCTCAAGCTATTCTCCAGTTAATAAAAGCTACACTGTCCATTGTCCTTTTGCAGCTCAGTACTTCATGAAAATTCAGTTTACTTAATACTTCATTAAAATGCATGCGCAGCTCAGTGTAAATTCCTGTATTCCAAGATGACTGCATTCCTGTGCATGCGCAGGAATGAAGTCAGCCTGCTCTGGCTGATCTAGATGGCCGAAGAATGGCACCTGCAAGAAGATGTCAGGAAGCAAATGCAGGCATGAGACCAGACTGTTGAAGCAGAGGTAAGTATTTTGGAGTTTTTGTTCCACTTTTATTGTCTGGAAGATGAACAGTGAAAGGTACCCAGGAGCAAAATGACAGCTGCCATTTTTATTCCTCCCAAATACCTGATATTTTAGCCCCTGAAGAAGTTGAAGATCTTTGAACCCCCCGAGACAAGACACATTGGCTGTTTCATATTTTGTTGTTAATGGACAACAATATTAAAATATTGAGTTTTTTGATCTGGTACTTTGATTAGACTTTTTTTTCTTTAATTTATTGCCGGTACTTATTGCTTTGCATATATATTGTACATTCACATCAGTTCTTGCCCCTCAAGGAGTTTACAATCTATGTTCCCTAACTCACATGCAGACATACACATACTAGGACCAAATTAGACAGGAGCCAATTAACCTCCCAGCATGTCTTTGAAGTGTGCAGTGTACAATCCGTGCCAAAGCCGGTCGATGGATCACCTTTGGTACAGTCAGCCTGCCCATAGATGGATTGAATCTCAGCCGGTCCCACCCTGACCAAGATTCGATTCATCTATGGTTGGCTTAAGGTTCCTAACTCACATTCATAAACCTACTAGAGCCAACTTGGACACGTGCCAGCATGTCTTTGCAGAGTGGGAGGAAACCGGAGTACCCAGAGGACACCTATGCAGGCACAGGAAGAACATGCAAACTCCAGGCAGGTAGTGCCATGGTTGTTTATTATAATTCAGAGTCTTGACTATTTTGGAGTATGATGATGTCATGGGGGTATATGTTAAGACTGCTCCAAGCCTTTTCACATTCTGATTAACATTGGGAAATATTAATATTTTAGTCATATGTTACCTTATGTAGGGTTTGGTCTTTTTGTGATGCCTCATGTTAAAGCTGCATGCAGTCTGTAAGCAGATGGGCGATACTGGTGTTGTCATTTTCTTTGTCACCCTAATCTGGACTCTGCTTATCTCTGCTTCCACAGGCTCAGCAGCTCAGCACTGTAGGACAGAACACAAGGAAGCTGGAAGAGGACAACCAGAGTTTGCGGGAGAAGCTAGATTCTCTGGAGACGGAACAGGAAACCATTCTGAGTATTCTAGAGACTGAAATCAACTCAGCCTGTCAACTGCTGTCCAGAAATTCCATGGATAGATTCAAGGTAATTCCCCATTCTGATCTCCACGGTCTGCCAGTCTCCTAATCACAACTGCCTGCCAGCCTCCTATATAACATCAGTTATCCTTTTACTGTCTTTCCCCACTACCCTCTTTCACCCTCCTGTCCTAAATCCTGTCCTTGTATCCTAGTGCTGCACCCCACCAGTGACCCACAGTCCTCCTGTATTACTGCCCTGTTGCAGCACCTGCTCTCAGTCCTTCTCTGCTAACTCCAGTCCTAGTACCTTACTGCTGTACCCAGCCAATTACCCTCAATCATGCCTTTACCTGCCTTCATCCTCCAGTCCTTGTATCGCACTTCTGTTCATAGCCAATAACCCCCAACATCTCATACTAATGCGCATTGACCTCCAATATCTTGTGGTAGCCTTATACTACTACACTGTTCTTCTGACCATCACTAGCTCCCCATAGTAACTTTGTTTTTGACTGTGTTTGTTTTTATACCAATCCACTGCTCACACCTCTCACCTCCCTGTGCTCACCTTCACCGGCTCACATCCCCATCAACTCTGAAGGCCACCAGCCTTCTTATGTTCAGCAGCTTCTATAATTTCTCACTAACCTTCCCTCCGCCTCTTAAAATTTCTCCCTGGCACACCTGTAACCTCTTCCCTTATATTCCCTTCTGTTAGGATCAGTCAAAAATGAGCAATGTGAGTAACAGCCAATCAGAATGAATAGTACTATCAGAATGAATATACTACTAACTGCTAAAACCCACAGCCATTACTCCTACTCCTTGACCTTTCCGCTGCCTTTAGCACAGTTGACCACCCGCTCCTCCTCCGTAAACTCCACTCCATCGGCCTCCGTGACTCTGCTCTCTCCTGGTTCTCCTCTTACCTTTCTCAGCGCACTTTCAGTTTCACATACAACTCCTCCTCCACTCCGCTTCCTCTTATTGTTGGGGTACCCCAAGGTGCTGTTCTTGGGCCCCTTTTCTCTCTCTATACCTCCTCCCTAGGCCAACTGATAACCTCCCATGGCTTCCAATACCACCTCTATGCTGATTACACCCAGATCTCTCTCTCCACTCCCCAGCTCACCCCCTCAATCTCCTCACGTATCACAAATGTACTAAGCGACATATCAGCATGGACGTCACATCACTACCTCAAACTCAATCTTTCAAAAACTGAGCTTGTAATATTTCCTCCTCCCCGATCCCCCACTCACGACTTTACCATTAAGATCAACAGCACAACCATTGGTCCTTCCCCTCATGCCAGGGTGCTAGGTGTAATCCTAGACTCTGACCTCTCCTTTGGACCCCACATCCACTCACTGGCTAAATTTTGCCGCCTCAACCTCCGGAACATTTCCAAAATCCGCCCCTTCCTGACCAATGACACCACAAAACAACTCATCCACGCCTTGGTTATATCCCGCCTCGATTACTGCAACTCCCTCCTCACTGGTCTACTGTTACACAGGCTATCCCCCCTTCACTCTATTATGAATGCTGCTGCTAGACTCCTTCACCTTACCAACCGATCAGCGACTGCTGCCCCTCTCTGCCAATCCCTCCACTGGCTTCCACTAACCCAACGTATAAAATTCAAAATACTAACCACAGCTTACAAAGCCATCCTCAACACTGCCCCTAGCTACATCACCAATCTCATCCACAGATACCACCCAAATCGCCCACTCCGCTCCTCCCATGATATCCTCCTCTCTAGCTCCCTCATCACCTCCTCCCACGCTTGCCTCCAGGACTTCTCCAGAGCATCTCCCATCCTCTGGAACTCCCTACCACAGCATGTCCGGTCAGCCCCCACCCTGTCTTTAGGCGATCTTTGAAAACTCACTTCTTCAGGGAAGCCTACCCCACCTGCACCTAAGAACTGTACTTGAATCACCTCCGCCAGATCATTCCCCACAGCTATCACCTTTTGTATCACCTCCCCCTTCCTTTAGATTGTAAGCTCCACGAGCCGGGCCCTCCTATTCCTTCTGTACTGAAATGTATTGTAATTGTACTGTCTCCCTTATATTGTAAAGCGCTGCGCAAACTGTTGGCGCTATATAAATCCTGTATAATAATAATAGTATAGTGCCAAATTCAGTATTCTGAAGACATTTTCTGTCATCTGATAAAGGCTGTGTCTGCGGGAACTCACCTGAGGAATGATCCCCACTACTGGCTGGCAGAGACCAAGGTAAGACTACCATGACTGCTTGTCACCTTTCCTTCCTCTATAGTTTAGGAACATATAGGAGGTCTGAGGCTTCTGGCGGTGGGAGGCCTCCTCAGCTGCTCTGGAATGCTTCCTCCCTTGTTAAAAAGTCTCTCTGGGCCCCAGCATGTGATGGGGAGATGTCCCCGCTCTAAGATGTGAGCGCCTGGAGTGAGCAGCTGTGTGCAGGAGAGGCCACACAGACAGCAGCAGCTGGAGGAGCTCACACAAATATTCTGTGAACTCCTTCTCTCATCTGTCAGCCTGTATTAACCTTTACTGTCTGTCTCTCCCTCTACCCACTCCTCCTGTACCCTCTGCCAGCTACTTTTCCCCTTATCCGCTTCTATTGAACCTCTGCCAGCTACTCTTCCTTCTTCTCGTACCCTCTGCCAGCTACTCTTCCTTACTCTTTTAACCTCTGCCAGCTGCTCTCCCTCTAATTATTCCTTCTCTTACCCTCTGCTACTGTTATGACCCCTGCCCGTTACACTTCTCTCCATCTGCTCCTTTTGTGCCCTCTGCCAGCTACTCTTCACTCTATTGGCTCTTCCTGTACCCTCTGCCAGCTACTCTTCACTCTGTTGGCTCTTCCTGTACCCTCTGCCAGCTACTCTTCACTCTGTTGGCTCTTCCTGTACCCTCTGCCAGCTGCTCTTCACTCTATTGGCTCTTCCTGTACCCTCTGCCAGCTACTCTTCACTCTATTGGCTCTTCCTGTACCCTATGCTAGCTACTCTCCACTCTGTTGGCTCTTCCTGTACCCTCTGCCAGCTGCTCTTCACTCTATTGGCTCTTCCTGTACCCTCTGCCAGCTACTCTTCACTCTATTGGCTCTTCCTGTACCCTATGCTAGCTACTCTTCACTCTATTGGCTCTTCCTGTACCCTCTGCCAGCTACTCTTTCATCTGCCTGCTCCTTCTTTTACCCCTGCCGGCTTCTTTTCCCTTCTCTTGTGCCCTCTGCCAGCTACTCTTCCAGCTCTTCTTGTACCCTTCGGTAACTACATTCACATCCACTTGCTCTTATTGTACCTTCTGCAAGCTACTGTTGCCTCACTAAAGTATCTGTCCCCCTACCCCCCACAGTATAAGTGGTCACCCCTTTGATGGCCTGTGTCTCTCCGTTCCAGCACTGCAGCCTCCGTAAGACCTTTGCCATTTAAGTGTTGAATAACTGTATCCCCTGCTGTGTGCTGTGGCTCCATCTTCAAACCCATACATCATTATAGGACTCCGCAATGGCGTAGTGGTTTGGGGGATAGAACCCACAGCACACAATGGGTGACATGGGTTTTCAACAATACCGTGAGTGACCAGAGAGCATTAAAACCCTTCCACTGTTTTAAAAATGAGTGCAGTTCCAATTTCTTTTTAAGAATACATGTTTTTAAAGAGCTCCTAAAATAATTTTTTTTTTCCTTTTAATATCTGTTGGGGTTCCACTTTACATTTGGCAGCCTTCACTGACCAGTTAGCAAAGTCAGGAGTGGCCAAGTGGCCGCTGGCCAGGAGCACAGATGTGCATGGTTCCCCAGAGTCAGGCACAAAGACACCTGCAGGCTGTAGTGGTGGAAGAGCGCCACCTTCCAGGCTCCTGGATTGCAGCACACTTGTCCCTGGCAGTGAAAATCTCTTTTTCTCCATAATTCTTTTACAATTGATGGGAAATCCAGGCAGATGTGTGCAGAGGACTGTACTGCCGCTGCCAGTAATGTGCTGCCTATAACTGAAGTCGTATATCAGCTACTGGGAGGCGGCCGAAGCCAGGCAAGCCTGAGCTGAACCCAAGGAGCACTTGCTGTATTGAACGCTCAGTTGTTCCTAGAATTTCTGTTTGCCCTTAGGGTGGAGCCTGACAGGTTAATTTATCTGCCCACTGGGGCTCAGGCAGTGAAATTTATGCACCTGGCACTTCTTACCTGTTGCAACCATTATGGCGGAGTCTGGCTGTTGCTGCTGGATACTAAATCATTTTACATTGTGGAGAAATAAAGCAGGATAAGTGAGTTTGCAATGAGTGCAGAAGCAGAGATCCTTGAGGGTAGACTATTTTTTAAAGTTTATCTCCAGGAAAAAATTAACTTGACTACCACCCATCTGTTTTTTTTTTTTTTTGCTTACCTTTTGAAGCAAGATTTACTCCCCCCCAAATCTTCCATCGATGTCTCTCACCAGCACCATTTCTGTGTGCAAACCCAGCTTGCAGCCGGTCACCCTGTAAAGCCACAGTTTGACTATGAAGCCCATGCAGCGCTTTGGTATGGTAATATGTAGTCCCAGTGCGGGAGCGAGCGTTGCATGCTGACAATACTACCACAAAGCCTAGGAGTGCCCACTTCTTCTGATTGACACTCACTCATCAAGCATAGAGCCAACCTACTGCTTGCATCGGGGTTGAGGACTCTTAAAAGGATTACTAAGGCAGGGAGCTATGAAACTAAGTACAGCACTGCCGGCTCTTCCCACCGGCCATGATCTGTTGGGGTTGCATAGGGAAGCACAGAGACATGATGATTATGGCACTGGGTCTAAAGTTTGTTTTTTTTGTTTTGTTTTTTTAAATGTCATTAGCATGTTGACAAAGGGGAAGGGATAAACCTGGGAAGGCAAAAGCTAACCAGATTAAACATCAGCTCACCTTGTCATCATCTTTGGGAAACCTTGCATGTGTTAATAAGAAGTCTATCACTCATTCTAACTTTCCCATCAGACCAAGCTGCAGTGGCTGTGTGAGGAGGTGAAGGAGCGAGAGGAGAAGGAACGCAAGCTTCGCGCTCAATACCAGCAATGTCGGGAGCAGCTGAAGGAGCAGAAGCTAAAGAAAGACTCCGAGAAAGAGCTACAGAATCAGCAAATTGCCAAAATGGAACAGCAGCTGGAGGAATCTCACCGTGACAGGAAAGGTGGGTGCTTGTGGTTTTTCCTCTGTGACTAATAAAATTCTACCATCTAGTCATTCCAATATGGCCTGATCCATAGTTGTATTTGTTACACTTCCGTTACTGCTAGCTTGTCCAAGCTTTTGAAGTGCATTGTGGCTAAAGTCTTGGCTGTCCCTGACATTCTCACAATGCCTCATAATAAAGGAGCTGCATGTTCTGAGATTTACCTTAGCCCCCTTGCTCTTTAATGCTGGCCATACACAGGGCTGAATAAGAGAAATCTATTGATTCCTCCATCCATGCTAAACAGTGTGAATGGATGAAACCCTACTGCTGGATATTGTATTCTGACACCTGGTGCTGGTGGCTGTTAGATGCAGTCACTGTTCAGGTATTCTGATTGGATTCAGACACTGTTCTTCTGACAATTTTATTCCTGGCTCCTTCAATTTTTGGATGAAAGAATGTCTGGCAAGAGGGTGCTGACAGGGACACCCATGTTTCGAATTTGCTCTGTGTATGGCCAACTCAACCCTAGCCCTCTAACCTTAACATATCCAAAGCCATCTGGTACGCAGGCCTGATCCCCTCAGCATTGCAACATATGTATTGTGTTCATATAAATCTGATGAGGTTTGGTAAGTAGTCAGAGAGTGGTGCATGCTTGAGGACTTTAAGGCGAAGTCCACCTTTTACAGAAAAATAATAAATACACATTTTTTTTTTTTCTCCTGCAAATGACTTTACTATTGTTTTGTACAGGAGCCTGCAAAGCACTCCACCTGCAATCAGTGGGATCCGAGTGCAATGCACAGGCTCCCTCAGCTTTTTCCTTCAGCTCTATGTCCATACAGAGGACTTACAAGTGTGGTGAGAACTAGAAGTCTGTCTGCTGTGGTGGCAGAACTTGTAATTCATTAATTCCCAGAACTCTATGAATGAAGATGCAGCTGTACGGGAAGAACTTTGTGCAACTGCGGGCAAAAAAAACGCCCCACAGATGCTCAATAGGATTTAGGTCAGGAGACCTGTTTGGCCAGTCCATCACCTTTACCCTCAGCTTCTTTAGCAAGGCAATGGTCGTCTTGGAGGTGTGTTTGGGGTCGTTCTTATATTGCCCTGTGACCCAGTCTCCGTAAGGGAGGGGGTGATGCTCTGCTTCAGTATGTCACAGTACATGTTGGCATTCATGGTTCCTTCAATGAACTGTAGCTCCCCAGTGTCGGCAGCACTCATGCAGCCCCAGACCATGACACTGCCACCACCACATGCTTGACTGTAGGCAAGACACACTTGTCTTTGTACTGTTCTTGTGCATCATCTTTAGAAGAGGCTTCCTTCTATGACAACAGCTATGCAGACCAATTTGATGCAGCGTGCGGCGTATGGTCTGAGCACTGACAGGCTGACCCCCCACCCCTTCAACCTCTGTAGCAATGCTGGCAGCACTCATACATCTATGTCCCAAAGACAACCTCTGGATATGACGCTGAGCACGTGCACTCAACTTGTCCTGTTAAACCGCTGTACGGTCTTGGCCACCGTGCTGCAGCTCAGTTTCAGGGTCTTGGCAATCTTCTTATAGCCTAGGCCATCTTCATGTAGAGCAACAATTCTTTTTTTTCAGATCCTCAGAGAGTTCTTTGCCACGAGGTGCCATGTTGAACTTCCAGTGACCAGTATGAGAGAGTGAGAGCGATCACACCAAATTTAACACACCTGCTCCCCATTCACACCTCAGACCTTGTAACACTAACGAGTCACAGGACACCGGGGAGCGAAAATGGCTAATTGGGCCCAATTTGGACCTTGTCACTTAGGGGTGGACTCACTTTTGTTGCCAGCGGTTTAGACATTAATGGCTGTGTGTTGAGTTATTTTGAGGGCAAATTTACAAGTTATACAAGCTGTACACTCACTACCAGGGGCGGACTGACCATTCGAGCACTCGGGCACTACCCAAGGGCCCGGAGTCAGTAGGGGGCCCCATGAGATGCCCCTGGTACCATTCATTGGCTGTTTCATAGGCTTTTTTTGGGTGTGGGCGAGGACACAGGGGCCCCATAATCCCCTATTGCCCGGGGGCCCCATGAGTTGTCAGTCCGCTCCTGCTCACTACGTCACATTGTAGCAAAGTGTCATTTCTTCAGTGTTGTCACATGAAAATATATAATAAAATATTTACAAAAATGTGAGGGGTGGACTCACTTCTTGGAGATACTGTACATCCGGTAAACAGAGCCGTGTTCCGGCAGCAGGACTAAAACTTCCCGCTTCAATTCCAGAACAAAATCTAGTCAGGCTGGGCGGCGCTCAGGCTTTCACAGGGAGGTTTTTATTCTATAATTGAATAAATAGAGTGCTTCCGCTGACTGGCTAAGGCAGAGAGGCAGACAGATAATGTCACCAACTCCACCTCAGACAATCAGAGGAAGCTTTCTATTCATAGAATACAAAGTCCCTGTGAAAAGCTGAGCACCACTCAACCTGACTCGATTTTGTTCTGGGACTAAAGTGGGAAATTCCGGTCCTGCTGCCAGAGCACAGCACTGTATTACTGTATGTAGCACCTTAGTCCAAATGAACAATTTAAAGTTAAAACACAGAGATCATCTTTAAATGCTGAGAAAGTGCTCAGGAATTGAGAAATAATAAAGAAATAGATATGAGCTCTTGAAAACTGCCCAATAACTGCAACCTTTTGGGAGCAGATTGAGTGAGCGTAAACAGATGAGCGTCTGACAGCCATGGACTGCTTAACATTTACTAGCATGGTTTCTCATACCTGTGATTGAGTCCACAGTACTAATTCTAGTCTGGCTTCAATTTGCAGCTATTGGATGACAGTAACCTGTGGTTTTGCAGCTCACTCAGTGTGATCGATGTACACGCTACCTTAAGAGATTATGTGCTCTTTATAAAGTGAATAGTATCCGGTAACAAACTGCAGAACGTATGTGTGCTAGGATTAAATTGTGCAACTGCACCTCCATTTGCGAGAAACTGCAATTCATATGACATTTATAACTGTAAGCAATATGGAAGCCAAGAATCTCTGTGTAGCTGCTGGTTTTTGTTGCTGAATAGAGTATCTACTAGATTGCTGCATTTGTTTAACTGGCTCCATGCTAGGAGGATACGGTGCTATGGCATTTGTTCATTGTGGATAGCACTAAAGTCAAACCGAATCTGATTTCTTTGTACAAACGTTTTATAGCCGGGTGTGAAGAAATGCTGTAAAGTGAGAATGTTTTCAAAAATATATATTTTAATTGTTTTTATCAATTCACAAAATGCAAAGTGAGCAAACGGAAGAAAAATCTAAATCAAATCATTATTTGGTGTAACTACCCTTTGGCTTCAAAAAAGCATCACTTCATTTCATCAAGCTCTTTTGAGGAAGCACAAAGAAACCGGCAATGTTGAGGATCGTAGGCGCAGTGGTCAGCAAGAGAAACTTAATGCAGCAGATGAAAGACATCATTCTTGCTTCTCTTCCACCTCGAAAGATGTCCAGCAATGCCAGCAGCATAGAACTGGGGGAAACCAGTGGGACCCAGATACACCCCTCTACTGTTCAGAGATTTGTGGCCAGAACTTGTCTTCCCAGAAGAATTTCTGCCAGAAATCCATATCTCCGAAGTGGAAACAAGGCTAAGTGACTCAACAATGTAGAAAGACATAGGAACTGGGGTGTAGAAAAATGGCAGCAAAATGTTCTGGACTGATGAGTCAAATCTGACATATTTGGCTGTAGCAGTAGGCAGTTTGTTGGTGACGGACTAGAGCGCGGTACAATGAGTGCCTGCAGCCAACTGTGAAGCATGGTGGAGATTCCTCGCATGTTTGGGGCTGCATTTCTGCAAATGGAGTTGGAGATTTGTTCAGGATCAATGGTATCCTCAATGCTGAGAAATACAAGCAGATACTTCTCCATCATGCCAGGGAGGAGGGTGAATTTATTCTACAGCAGAACAACAACCTCAAACATACAGCCAATGTCATTTAAGAACTATCTTCTGTGTAAAGGACAAGGAGTCCTGGAAGTGATAGTTTGGCCCCCACAGGGCCCTGATCTCAACACCATGGCGTCTGTCTGGGATTACACGAAGGGACAGAAGGATTTGAGGCAGCCTACATCCACAGAAGATCTGTGGTTAGTTCTCCAAAATGTCTGGAACAACCTACCTGCCGAGTTCCTTCAAAAACTGTGTGCAAGTCTACCTAGATGAAGGCAAAGGGTGGTCACACCAAATATTCATTTAATTTGGGTTTCAGCTTTGTTCATTTACTTTCCATTTTTTTTAACTGAGAAGAACTTTATTTGCAAAAGTTTTAGGCAGGTGCGAAAAAAATACTGCACAGTACTGTATTTGTTCCGTGTTGAACAAAGTCTCCGTGTGATTGGCACATTTGCATCAACCGGCTACATCCTTCAACGTTACAGAGCTATGGCTGTTGTTTTTTGTGAAAATACCTAAACTCTGCTCACCCCTTGTTTATTGCTGGAAAGCACCTGAATCCACAGAATTCTGTGATGGCACAACAGTTCATGCATTCCACAGATTATATTGCTGTTATAGCGGCTTTATGATGAAACCGCAATTTTATTTTATCTGATGCCTAATCACCTGTAGCATAGGGACCTAATTGGGCTAGTCTGGATAAACTGCTAATTCCTGGCTGAAATACTTGTCATTAGAGGCTTTGGGTGTTGTTTTTAATTTTAACAGTATAAGTTGGAACGTGATTGTGAATTTTGTATATTGTATATTTTTTTTAAGTGTATGTTCACTTTTTTCGAGTAAATTAAAAGTTAAATGAACACCGTAAACCCCCCCCACCACCAATCCCTGCTGTGTACTTCCAGTCCAGGAATTCTGAGCTGTCAGTGCCCACACAGCTGGTTCAGCAGCCTGGAGATTTAGAATTTCTGCTCTTCTCTGTGCAACACTTCCAA